GAAAATCCCAGTTACACTCACCAACTGTGATTAGATTCCATGCCGCTGGGCGTCCAAACTTAAGGAATTACTGAAAAATTCAAATTATTATCGCTTATTATCTTGGGACATTATCAGTTCAAACACTGATATACTGATACAGACCGCGGGAGAGAGAGCCATGCCCAGAACCACAACCAGAACCAGAAACAGAAACAGAACCCCGACCCAAACTGGAAGTGGAACCTTAACTGGCTGCAGATACCCCAAACTGATACCGATATCCTACCAACGGCAACAACAACAACCAAGCCCAATTGATAGCAAATCTTCATTATCTTATAAATACGACTGCATTGGTGGTCGTGTATCGCTAAAAAGCCAAGATTAGATACTTTTATCTAGCTGGGTCAACCTCGTCCCCATCCCTATTCCGCCCAAGAAATTGGCGACGTCACAGATAGAGTTCCCGTTCCCCACTATCGGTTAAGCAAATTGCCAGTCCCACGCGGATGTTTGTCCAAGAGCAGGAGCGGTGTAGTGTAGTGTAGTGGGAGCAGGTTAAGTAGCCGCCACCGATTGACTTACGATTTCGGTCTGTTGGGGGCCTGCCCCGGGAGGAATTGGAATATCTCCCTGTTTGCCAGTTGGGTAGTCGAAATCTCTGTTAAGATACGTTAACTTATCTAAGGCCACTATCTATTCGCAGATATTCGATATGTCCCTCCACGTGTATACACATAACATATGTATATATATATACGGCTGTATTAGAGGCGTCGGCGATAGGAAAAATCGCTTTGGTTGATAGGAGCAATCAGCGGAGTTTTCATTCCATAGCAGCATTTCCTCAGGCCGTCGCGGAAAAGAGACATCGCACCACGGGCATTTCTATTTCGATTTCGACTCAAATTGGTGGCCACGAAAATCTAACCATAAATTAATCATGGCTAAAACATCAGTCATTCGAGGTTTCAGTGAAACCGAAAAAGCGAACAACAAAATGTCACCGCTCATAAGTAATAAATAATGTTTTGAATGCGTTTTGGGGTCGCTGGTGTCGTCAGTTAACCAGCTACCCAGCTACCTACCCAGACCCAAAGTCAGTAGTACCCACTCCAAGTGGTGATCGCAATCAACCCCAGTAGCCATGATTGTTAACGTTAATGGCGTCGATGTCGTTGCTGTTGTGGCTGTTGTGACTGGACTGCCCTCGTCCCTCGCCCCACGTTTCAGTCCACACCCCACAAAAGCCATGCCAAAACAATGCCATGCCAGCAGCAACAACAGTGAGCAGCTCTCGCGGATTATTATGGATTGTCAGTTATAATGTTGAGTCACGGCCTGGGCCCATCGGCAAACAAAGGTGCGTATACTGAACAAACGCGAAAGCTTCGCACCGAAGACGCTACTGCCAATCGCAAGTGGCTGGCACACATTTCTATCTAGCTATGCTCTTGGGGAACCAGTATGCCACATATAATTTAATTAGAACTTATGTTACTTCGCCATTATAGCATATTTGATATTACTGTTCTGTGGTCTTCCTTAAAACTGGAATCATTTATCAAAACAAGGATTCTTCTTGTTCTACAACAGCAAGAACTTAATATATATTGTGTTATTGTTAAATTTTCATAATGAAAATAAAAATATAATTAATATCTCAACATTAAATTAAAAAGGAGTAATTTACTAAATAGAGTTTGTCATTGAAGGAATGCAAAAATAAAGTAGGCTTTTAATTGGAAAATTCCATATAGTAAAAAAAGGTTTTAAGCTAAAAAATTCCATAGAATTTTTTTGTTTAGCAACTATGCGGGCATAGTTTTTTAAATTTTGCTATTGTCGCACATTATCTTAAAATTTTTTAAAGAATAAATTGTTTTTTACGAAACCATTGGAAACTATGTATACATTTAATCTATTAAATTGGCTTTGATGAACTATGATTAACATCGTTTTATTCGAATTCCAAAATTATTTTCGAAGCTTTTAAGTTTGAAACACAATTGATTCGAAATTTATTTTTCTTAGAAAAAACATTTTAAACTCTGTAATTTTTGTTCAAACGTAAGGGTCAGAATAAATAAGTTTACGAAAAAGGGTATATTAAAACCGCTCCGACGAACTATGAGTTTACAAAGTTGTATTAAAAGTAAAAAATAATTTTTGGGACTTTTAAGCACCGTGGTGTTTTCCATAATAACTCTTCGTTCTTCTCTGATATGCAAACTTTCCCCTGACTCATTCGCAAGATACATCAGTGTCGGAGTGCCCAATCCATAAATATTCGAATGAACATTCGTTAACCCAGTGACAACTCGTTGTGATCGTAAACAAAGAAGGCTTAACTCTTTCACCAGCTCCTTCTGGCGAACTGAACCTCCTGTTCCTCCAGTGGCTAAACTTTGGGGCCTGCCAATGCGGAGTGCGCAGTTCCATTTTCATAACTCATGTCCGAAATGTCGGTAGCGTGCCTTTGCCAAATGATTTATGACCCCGTCGGGTTAATAGAATTTACTTGAACCCAATTTGCCTGCGGTCGAGAAGCGCAGAATGCAGCGCCGCAGGGGAGAGCCATTACAGCACTTCCATTTCCATTCCGCCTTTATTCGATTGAGCCACGCCATTGCCGGCTGGCAGGGATTGGGCAACCATTCGGGGTTGGATCAGCCTGGGGGAGTGGAGTGGAGTGGAATCGGATCGCACCCCTGCCGATGGCTATAATTAAAACTATGGCGCACGCCTTTGCTGGCATTGTGGCGTTCAGTTTCCAAAGAGTTCTTCCCCTTATCAGAGCCAAACAAATGTATAATAATAATTTTATTATGTCAAAGAAAGAAGAACATTGTACCATTCCAATATATAAATTAAATTCCGTAGCGTCATTGCAGCCACAGATCGGCGATACTGTCAACTGGCCAAGAACACTTGTGGGTAGATAACTTTTTGGCTTTGCCTTCTGGGTGCTTGGTTTGTTTTGGCGCACCACTTGAAACTGCACGGATGTGGATGTGGACAAGTTGAAGGGTGTACCGTTGCGATATGCCGTGGTCAGCAATCTTAAGACTCTGTCTCTGTGCTGCCGCCCCTAAGTCTTGCGTCTTAGGGTCGTAAATTCGCCGGCAAAGCACCTAAAGCTAGGCGCGGCGGTGCCATCAATTAGGGTATTAATTGCCCTGCCCGGCTCTGCCAGGCCAAAAAACCACCTCGATGAGTCAGTCGATACCCAGTGGGGATTCAGTTTGCTCAGGGGGCGACTATAGCCATAGTCCTCCTCTCGCATTAATCGCCTGTAATGTTGAATTCGTGTAGCGCCATTTGTAAGACGAGGCCGGGCGATCGAAACTGGCATTGCTGTCAACTTTCTGAGTGATTAATCACTGCCAAGATATTTCGCGACACGCAGCAGCAGCAGCAGCAGCAGCAGCTACTATTAGATACTTTTTGTCTGGCGGTTTTGCTCTTAAGATTTGCCCATGATTTATGAGCCACATGAGTTGCAACAATTAAAATTATCGCACCAAGTGATTTCAATTCATAGGAGAGGCGGAAAGTTGCCCGTAATTGTGGCATTATGAGCAGCTCCAAAAGGGGAACTCTCCGCTCCGCTCGGTTGTGCATGTTAATGGCCGTCATATATCTGCTTGTTTTATGACTTATAAACTATAAACAATTTATGATTTGCTGGGCCAACTTGGCTGGGTGTCCAAGATATACGACTAACTCCCAGATTGCTGCTCTTCAAAAGAGTGAAAGCTGCGAGTATGGATGAAGGGGTTTAGCTATATGAGGAAAAATCAGCCAATTTATCACAATGCCTTGGTGATTAATAACGATTTTGTTTACCGATTTGTATGGTAAATGGAAAATAACGGGGAAATTTTAGAAGGAATCAAAAAGAAAACCAAAGTGGCATTATAAATATTTAAAATGTCTATATTTAAGAACTAGCCTGACAAGGTAAAGCAACTAAGGTATATTTAATATTATTAAAAACTTAACGTAGGGATAACAAAGTGAACTAGGCATGCCTTCATTTTTCAATCAAATATTAAATCTTGATTTTTAATATGTGTAACATGGGAAAATGATTTCAGAATAGAAATTATAAAACCATATTGAAAGTTTAGCATTGAATTCTCTCCACATAAGACATTTGGCTACAAAGTATCTGTAATGGGTTGTTGAAAAAATGTATCCGAAATCTGATCGAGCACTCCACTCACTCGGCCACTTCAGACTCAATCTTTATTGTGGCTGGTGAAATTTCAGAGACTTTGCCATGTATTTGCAGCACCTGATCCTCGACCACGTGTGTCCCTGCCTCCCGTCTGCCCCACCCCGTCAGTGTTCATCAGTTACAACACTCGAAGGGCGACTGTGAAGTGGGAAATTGGGGAAGTGGTGCGCAGTCGGAGCAGTCGAAGTTGTCAAAGCGGCCCACATTCGAGCGAGTGCTCGTGGGGTCATATAAAGCTAAGGCCCATGCCCATGCCCATGCCCATGCCCAGACCCATGTAGAGACCCACATTCCGGGCCCAAGCCCGATCCGATGCCATTGTGTTGACGTTGACTAACGTTGGCCGTGTTTATTAGTTTGCCAGAAAAGTGTTTTATGAGTGCAATTAGAAAATGCGCTAGACTAAATTGCACAATTGACAAATAGCTGGGCTGGTGAGGTTGGGTTGGAGGTTCGGGGTTTGGGGACAGGAATTGGAATCAAATGTATGTGGCTGTTGGGTCTCTTGACGCCACGCTTCGGGACTTCGGAACATCGAAACATCGGAGAATGGGAACTTCGTAACAACGTTACTTCGGCCGAGCACGCAGGCGCAATTTGTATCTCACGGATACTTATCGCATCGCAAGGCACCAACACTCGGGCCCTGGCTTATCGCATATGAGGCGATAAGATAACCAATACCAGGTCGTTTGCTACGGAATAAATCATAACGCTGCCACACGGACAGGGCCGCACACCCACACAGGTGTGGGTCCGCCCAACCGCAGAGGTGCTGTCTGCGCATCGGTGTGGGTAGCTAATTGGGCGGCAAACGCGCGGCACAAACCGCATTGCGTCGCCGTCGTTGTTGTCATCGCAAGTGAGGTGCTCAGAGCTCAGGTCCCAGAACCACCGCCAAATAGCACTATTCGTATCACTGCTTACCGCTAAAGGTTGCGCGCGGGCCACAGCCACAATCGTTCCACGGATGACAGCACCACATTCACATCCACATCCAGATCCAGATCCAGACCAAAGTTTTCCATTTTGCGCGCCACTTTTCTGGCCGCCCAGATTGGAGTAGCAAGTAGTAGTGACCCCAAAACACCTGGACACGCCGTGCAAGTGATAACTTTTGAAAAACAACGAAACGAAACAAAACACAAGCGAGCTGAATTCAAGTGATAAATAAGATAAAACGCTGGAACAAAGCCCAAGAAGTACCCAAGAGAACTCAATTTGATGGTCTGCAAAACTATCTCAACGAGTGTGAAAATGCAGCTGAAGGTGGGTAACGCGAAACTATATGACTTCGGTATCGACAAAATTACTATAAAAATTGGCAAAGCAACAAAGAAGATTTTAGTGAAACAAAAATGTGTGAAAAAATATAGCATTTGGTTGCTTTTTTACATTAGTTTACCAATTTTTTTTCAAATTCCTTTTTTAAAATACTTAAGTTGAGAATGTGATCTGGCTCATTTGAAAAATTAAGCAGCTAAACGGGAACTTATTTAAATACCTTTTTTGGGACTCAATTTACGAGATCTCTATAAGCATATCTATCATTTCAACTTGGTTAAAAAGACAAGATCATAAAAAGTTTTTAACGTTTTCTCACACAAGTTCATTAAGCTAAATAGACAAGCCATAAAGAGTCATAAAATCCCACTCTTAAAGTTTATAGATCAGCCGCTAAAGACAAATAAATATTTATTTATTAATTAATGGATAATTAAGAGCTTTCAATTGACATTTCACATCCTTGCAAGTGGTAAATCGGGAAACGATTTTCGGCCAGTAAGCGGCAGCAGTGTAGATTTTAGTTTCAGTCCTAGCGCCGGAGAATGAGATAAGACAAATTGATTTATAATGACTCATCTGGGATGCAGCGGCAAAACTGCGACACTTATTTTTTTTTTGTATCCGCTCTTAAAAGAAAAACCGAACCCATTAAGAAAACGAAAACGAGAACGAAACCGAAAACGAGGCAACAAAAAAGCAAGTTAAATGTGGAAAGATGGCTTATCTTTATGAGGCCCAAATTCAGCTGCGATCGGAGGTGGCGTCAAAATACCTTTGACAAAAATAAAAATTTTAAAACACGCTAGCCGACATCGACAGCGTCGGCCAGTTGCCTCCACTTCATTCATAAAAAAAGGATGATACTTTTCTGTTTGGGCACGGATAATGTGAAATTTATGTCAATCTTATCACCTCGCTTTGGTCCTGGCTCTCGTCCTGGCTCTTATCCCTGCCTCGAGCCTGTCCTTCGGGGTGGGTTTATGAATGAAGCGGCGATTGCCAACCCTTGGCCCATTTGGGGGTTACTTTTCCCAGCCGGAAGTGAATAGCTGGCCAATGGAAAGCCAGTCCGCTAACAGTTTCTCGATGGCGGCATCGATGGTGATAGTGTTGCAGTTCCAGTTGCAGATACTTTTATTAGACACGCGTCGCCAGTTGACAGGCCATGGCTGATAGGACGAGGGCGAAGGTTGCGCTTGCGATTGATGGCCCCTTAATAGAGCTGTAAATGCAGCTGGCAGCCGAACGGCTTATCTCACTTGCGTTGGCCAACTGCAATGGACTTTAATTAATCGGGGTATCTTCTAACGATGGGCTGATAGAAGCCGTCAAGAAGTCCTTTTATATAGCTTGGAATGGGTATATCCAAAACGAGTGCTTAGCTGAATGCCTTTGAATTACATAGTTTTATAGAACGAAATTGTCTTCTTGAAAAGTTATACCTAATACCATTTTACTTGTAAATATAAAAATTAATTAAACATGTCTTTAATCTTTTGAATTTAAAGTAAATGAAAAAACTGAATTTTTGTAGTCTTAGTTTTAGATTATTTAAACCGATGGTTTAACAAAGAAAATAAATTTGAACTAGTATCATTAGCATAAATATTGAGGGCCTTCAAATCACTTTTTTGTATACATTAAATTATCTTAATTTATTTTAAAGTAAAAAGGTAATTAACAAAAGAAATGAAAAAATGTGCCCTAAATTAACCAAAAAAAAACTTTCTTTTAAAATGTATTCATTTGTATGGAATAGCAATCGCAATATGGTGGTACACAAAATAATTTACTTTCTTTGAATTGGTACAGTTCTGTTAACAAAGATATATAAAAATATATTTTTAAATAAAGCTATTGATGTATATTGCATTAGAAACTCTTAGATTAAGATAGAAATTTAAAACCACCAAAGGTAAGGACTTTCAAAGAAACAAAATCCGGCGTATTTACCTATAAAATATATACTAAAATAATCAATAAAATCTTTTGAACTGCAAACATTACTGCCAAATGTAATGAAGCAAATTTAGAACTGTCAAAAACCTGACCTTCAGAGAAACAAAATTATGCATTTCAGAATTAATTATAAAAACTAAAACTCAATTAAACTATTTGCACTGCAATTATTACCGCAAAATGCTATTAGATGAGGTAATTAAGTACTTTATACCGATACAATGCATTAGTAAATCTGAAAGGCTCTGAATGCTAATGTTGGGTCAGAGCTGCCCTCAAGATTTGCTCAACCACAAACCCAAGCTCAACAAAAGCGAAATGAGGTGCGATTATACTATATATAGCCAATATCTTTTGTTTATATAGATAAAGTCCGGGCCTGTGTGTACGTGTGTGTGTGTTTATGGGGGGCTGTGGGTGTGACTGGGCAGATTTCATTCATAAGTTCAGCGGGCACCACACCCTCGCAACGGGTCTTGACTAAGCCGAGCAAATAGCACATGCCACTCGCGGCGTGATGGTGACAAACAACTCTTGCCCAACTTATTGTAATTCTTGGATTTATCTGTATATGTATCTGTATCTGTCCCTATTGATGACGTATGTACCTGGTATATACTGTACGGGTGCGGGCGGGGGATTCCAACCATGACCTCTCAGTCTCAGGCCTGGAAGCAGCAGCAGCAGCTGATTATGTACATTGATAGCGCCCGGATAAGATATTGTCCGTATCGTTCGACCGTAGTATCTTAACTTTTTCGCGGTACATGGCACGTGCATGGGGGCATACCTATCGTACTACTATATACACACCAAAGTCGGGTTTATCTGCAGTTGGCCAGCCGATTGTCAAAGTGACGTTTGCACCACATTATCTCGCCCTCTTTCCATCCAGGGAATTCTTTGAACTTTGGCCAAGACGGCGGGAAAACCTCCGGCAATTTCAAGCTGCAATGCACTTACTTTTCCAAAGAACCACTTCCCCTTCTAATTCTTCTAAGTAAGTAGCTAAACTTTGTACCTGGTAAGCGGGTTATTTTTGTATTTTTATGACTTGTTAACTCATCGTCGAGTTCAATGATTCATGCTTGACCTTAGCTTGTATCCACACATAAAATGTATCAATCATTTGTGGCAAGTCAGCAAAAAGTTCTGCGTAAAATGAATCAATTATAATTTACCTAAAGGCAATTACGAATTTGGGGTTTACTTTTAAGGCAAACTAAGCTAATTTTATTTGAACAACAAATGGAAGACAAGGTCTTGCTATAAGTTACAATATCTGAATTATAAACTTAGGATGTAGAAATTGGTAAAAATTTAAAAATAGTGTCTTACTTATGTATCATGTATAAAAGTTTCGATTTTCGAATCATGTCTTTAAACAACATTTTGTTTAGGAAGAGCTCATAGTTTATGTCTTTATTATAGCAAAATGTTGAAATTGAAAAGGAAAGGATGATAATTAATTATAGGGATAAAATATTGTACTTTTAGGGGAAGATTCAAAATGTTATAAAGTTTATATTTTTTTCAAAGCCGGAAATTTAAACATGTTTACAAGAAAGAATATATTCTTCTTTTAGACTTCTATGATCATGATCCAAATCACGAGTTTATTAACATACATTTATGTGGTTTCTTAAAATTAAAATGAATTCTTTTGCCTTTTTTTATTAGAAACAATAGTTATACAAATTATTCTTTTAACACCAACTCGTTGGCTTGCCATCCTTGAATACTGCAATGGATTTCCCCAGTTGTATGTGCACTGAGCATTGGTTATACTCAAGCACACACACAATAAATGGCACATTTATAGCTACAGTAAAGGTGAAACCCACCTGAAAGCCTGCGAGCAATATGGCACTTGTCAAGAGCAGGCTGGCGGCAAATTCCGGTCGGGTCGCATCGTGAATCAGGTGACAGTGACGATCGAATGTGTTGACACAAGTTTGAGGATGGGGCATGGGGTACGGGGCTGTGGTGGAAATGGATGTGGAAGTGGAAGTGCCACCCCCAACGGAATGAGGTCATAAACCCAGGCCAACTGACGTACGGCGGGGAAAGCAAAACGATTTTATGGCCAACTTTAATTTCCGCCAAAAACAAAACAAAAAAAAAACCCGAAAACTAAATACACAACATAAATGAAAACGAAACCAAGACACCGCCGCACTGAGTTTAGAGTTCTGTGAGCAAATACTTCTTTTGGTGGAAATGAAATGGAATAAAAGTGAAAAATGTGTTCGACAATGTTGACACGGAGCGGTAGAAAGGAGAGGGGCCGTCTTGAAGCCCGTCTCCGTTCGTGGTACTTCATGGCTGTGGTTGTGAACTGTGGGTTGTAGGCGACAAATTGAGCTGCGAGCTGTGAGCTGTGAGTCGCGAGAGCGGGCGGCCTATTTGAAGTCCGACTCAGTCGTCTTGGACTGGGCCCGCGTTTGTTGACTTTTGTGGCGGAAATCGAGGCGGCCAGTTCGCAGTTTGCCTGGCCGGAACTGGAGCCACACTTTTGAGGCAAGCCGAGCAAAACATTCAACACTTGTCGCTTGCTCATTGCAGATGGAACAGCAGACAACGCAGCAGCAGCAGCAGCAGCAACAATTGCAACAGCAACAGCAACAGCAGGCCGTTCTGACCAAACAACAGCTCCAATTGCTGGACAAGATCAAGCTCGAGTCCAGCAACGGTGCCGAGCAGCTGTCCCAGCAGAGTGCCAGCAATCTGGAGGAGCAACAGGAGCAGCAGCAGCAGCAGCAACCTGCTACATCGGTGGGCGTGGTGGTGCAGACCAGCCAGGCGGGGATCAGCGAGCCGGAAGAGCAGTACGTGGTGGTGCCGCGTGGCAACCAGCGGAGAATTCTCACCACAGCGGGCACACTGTAAGTATATAAATCGTTTTAAGAGAGCTTACCCAAATGATCTTAAAAGAAAGTGCATTCAAAATTGGAGTACCGAAATTAAAATTTATTTTGCTACGAAATCAATTCTAAAACTTAACGTGAGAAGTTGGTTAAATGAATTTAAAGCAAAAGAAATAGAACATATATCAATCCATCATTTAATTCTAAATTCAATTAAAATTAATTTTTATATATACAGCTTTAATGTTTAAAAAAAAACAAATTAAGAAAAATTAAGTGTTTTAATTTCAAAATGTATTTCGTGAGTTGTATAATATTTAAATCCAATATCTGTGAGTTTTGAGCCCGCTATTTTAACAAAACAGCATTAGCTGAGGCATTCGAAAAATCAAACGCTTATAAGTAAAAAGGTTCAACATTTTTTCTAGTTTAAATGAAGAAGCCAATGGCTAAAACTATATAAAATTCGCTTGCTGTAATTGCAGAACCTTGTTGCATCACAATCTTTAATATTATTATGATTTCAGTGAACTAAACGAAGCTCGCGAGGGAGAGCCCAGTACAAACGCCAGCAACGCGAGCTCAGGATCTGCTCCGGATAGCCACATCGAGTACCAGCGCAGTGCGCACCACTCACCCGGAGCCACCCACTACGTGCAGATGGCACCGCGAAATGCGGAGGTCCCGGAGCAGGTGGGAACCGCAGCCGGAGCACCACCGGGTGCCATATTCGCCTATCCCTCGGGGCAGATCATCTGCAGCGGCGACGATGTGACGGCCATTAAAATAGAGACCATCGAGAAGGGCGAGGCGGCGGGAGGGGACTCACAGCAGCAGCAACAGCAACTGCAGCAACACCAGCAACAGCAGCAGCAGCAGCAACAGCAATGTCCCACGCCCAATGGCGGCAGCTACGGCGAGACCATAGTGATTAGCGGCGGGGCGGAGGCACTGCAGCATCACCACCAGCAGCAGCAGCACCAGCAGCACCAGCACCAGCAGCACCAACACCATCAGCATCAGGTTGCCGCTGCAGCGGCGGCGGCCTCGGCCCAGGCGGTCCACATTGCCACAAGTTCGCATGGCGGCACCGTGCGCTTCGTCACGGAGGACGGACGCTTCACCACCGCCGGACCGGAGACGTCCGCCTCGAATCTGTACTACGATGCGCCGGTGGTGGATGGCAGTGTGCACGCCAACGAGTCCAAGACGTACGCCGACCTGGGCAACGCCTACACCCCGTTCCCGCCCAGCTCCAGCTTCAGCGGCAACAGCTATGCGGCCGCTCTGCAGCCGGGCAACACCATCTACAGTGTGCCGGGCACCGGGCAGTTCCTGGCCAAGTCCGAGTCCGGCCTTAACCAGCTGCGCCAGGCCGGACCGGCCACCTTCCAGACGATATCCTTTAACGACAGCGGCAACGGCATCGAAACCTTGTGGACGTCACCCGCCCCACCGGAGTACCAGAATGTGCCCTTCGTAAGTATTAACCAAGACCAGTTAACGGAAGTAAAACTATGAGCCCTTTACGTCGTAATTGAAATGTTTTATTTCAATGAAGACAAATTTATAACATAAGTTACCAGACAACTCTTTGGCTTGGCTCAACTGCTAGAAACTCTCAAATTAAATCATAACGTTAGCGCCTAAAAAACAATTTCAAAGATTTAAAGATAAAAGATTATAACGACAGTTAACTAATTTAAACCATTCAAATTTAAAAAGATAGTTTTTTTTAGGTCTTTTAGGACTTTTTAATTCTTAACTTAAATTTCAATTTACGTAAGTAAGTTTTTGATTGATTCAAACCTTGCCTTTAATCGAATTTGCGATTTTATTATCAAGAACATTTAAGAAAAAATGCAATTCGTTCTAGCTTAGAAACAGTACATTTGAGTTTTTAGTTTTTGAATTTAGACACTTTGTTTTGGATCAAACGCATTTGTAAATTCAAATTCTAAAATAAAAATGTTAGCAAACTAAAAGCTTAAAAATTTAGGGCCTAGAAAAGCAATTGAACTCTCTTTAGCCAGACACCAGACCTTTTAAATTAATTAATAATTATTTAATAATTAATAATTTGCTAACAGATCTTTAGTAAGTTTTTGACAAAATGTTCATGTAAATTATGAATTTTCCAAATTTTTAAAAATATATAACAGTACATATAATTTTAGAAACAGTAAATTAGAATACCAAAATTAAGTTATAAATTTAGATTGTACTTTCTCGGCAGGGTATCTTTAACATTTTTTTTGACGCCATCAACTAACTGATCTTCTTTGTGCTCCCCAGAGCAACTTCCACCCCCAAGTTATTGATGAGTACGCCACCGGGAACATGTCCACCACCCACTGGTCGCCCGCCGGGAGCATCGGTCAGTACGACGGCAGCTTGGTGACGACCTCGTCCACCTCGTCGCCCAACCACGAGCTCAAGTGCGAGAGCTGCCACTCGCCGCTGATGCGCAAGGGCTCCGAGCTCTTCTGCACCAACTGCTCGCCCTTCATGCGGATGGCGCAGCGCATGCCCCAGCGGCAGGCGAAGCCCAAGGCCGCCGCCGCCCCCAACAACCGGCGCAACGGGGTCACCTGCGCCAACTGCCAGACCAACTCGACCACCTTGTGGCGGCGCAACAACGAGGGCAATCCCGTGTGCAACGCCTGCGGGCTGTACTTTAAGCTGCACAACATGAACCGACCGCTCTCGATGAAGAAGGAGGGCATCCAGAAGCGCAAGCGCAAGCCAAAGAACAACGGAGGGGCGCCCATGCACCGGGCACCGCTGCCAAGTAAGTATAATAATCAATAGGTGATCAAAAGACTAAATGTTATTAAATTCAAATTTAAAAATTAGAAGAAGAGAGCCCTAATTTTTTGCGAGATATTTTTTATTTACAAGAAAGTTCTTCTGCCTAGAGAACTTATTTTTGAGTGACTATCACTATCACTAATAATTTTTGAGGATATAAACATTATTTTCGCTTTTATAAATAGATCCCTTTAAATCTTAAAGATATAATATGTTATAAATTAGCCAAAAACTTTAAAAAAATGCCATTTTTCCAAATAGGTTTTCTAATTTTACAAGAATAAAAAATAATAGGAAAGTCTTTAGCTTTAACCAATTTAAGATTATATATATACTCAGTAATTTTTAAATAACATAAAATATGAAGATTATGTGCTTTCTCTTCTAAAAAGTTTTGTAGTTTAAGATTTCTTTCTCATAAACTTTTTACCGAGAGCAACCAAAGTAGAAAAAACTTAAGGCCTAAAAAATAGTTTAAAACGAAACAGAAACACTAGCAAGGCTCAAACTTTCAGGAGCTACTGGAGTCTTAATTTGTTTTACATTTTGCTACCATTACTCTAAAAGTATACAAATACTTACCCAAACTTTAACAATACTAATCCCAACGCTTGGCTTGTTCCTGTCTCCATCACCAGGCATGTCGCAGGGAGTCAACCTGATGGCGAACAGTCCGCTCTACCCGTCGCAAGTGCCGGTGAGCATGCTGAGTGGCCAGCAGAACGCCAGTCCGGAGCTGCACGACATGTCGACGACGGGTCCGGCGGGTGGGCCCCGGGTGGTGGCCATCGCCCTGAGCTCCTCGGCCCCGCCCACCTCCGACGGCACGCTCAACATGTCCGCTCGTCACCACGTGACAAGTGAGAGCCAATCGCCCTACAGCCAGCAGTCGACGCCGCAAAGCCAGTCACCGCATCTGCCCAACACGGTGGCGATAAACCGCCAGATAGTCCAACCGTAAGTTAAAGATCTTCCTGCAATCCCGTTCTGATTTCTCATGTTTGGCATCAAATCCCACAGAGTACCCACCATCGAAAGCGGTCGCAGTTCCAACAGCGAGCTGACCCCCAGCGTAATCACGCGCACTGGACTCCCAGAGCGATCATCGAATAACTAAGCTAACTTTCTAACTAACCTTAACTTAGCTACAAACTAATGTAATCTAACGTAATCCTTACCAAAATGTCAAAATTGCCAAAATATTTATTTAAGCCCCACCCCCCTAGCCATATAGGATGTATAGAGCCAAGACCAATGTCCCAGTTAGAGGAATTCTTGACCGTCTTCCTCCCTTTTAGTCAACTGCTTGCAGCAATTATGTAGTTTGAAATGATTTGTGCCAACCACTTAGGATCACTGCGGATCGCAGCGCTGTACTCTAGAGGTAGTTTAGCGAAAAACAGCACAACAACAGCCCATAAAGAAGCCTACGATTTTGTATGTTTAAGCCTCTTTTTTAATTCAACAAAATAAATAAGTTGTAAACGCAAGACACTCGGGACTTTGATGGCTCTACCAAAAGGAGGCGAGGGACCTCGCCGAAATCTCGTTATATTTCATTGTCAACAATTTGGCAGCCAACCAAATTGATCCAAATTAATTTTAATGACCCCCACAGACCACAGCGCGAGACCATAAAATCTTAACAAGTCGGAAAGCAAAAGCCCCGGATCGCTTGGCCCAGGAGATGAGATGGAGACCCCTGGAGCAGTGTCTAAATAGCGATTTGGTGTCATCGCTTAAAAGCCTGTCCAGCGCACAACGCCGCCGCCGAGTAACGCCACCGCCTGCAGCCGCTGCCTTTGATCTGCTGATCCTCTGTCGGCGGTATACTATAGTATGGGTATGGTAAGGGTATGGTACGGGTATGGTATGGGTATGGTATGGGTATGGTATGGCAAATATGCCCTACGGCCCGAAGATGGAGTCCAGTGTAGTGCAGTGTAGCCAAAGGAGGTATAATATTAACGCCTTGGGTTGGGGTCTTCGTCTTTGTCCGAGCCTTCTTTTTGTTTTTGGCGTACGCTCGATCAATTAGGCAAACTTGTTTTACGACCGCTTTTATTAGCGTCCGCTCTGGCCGGCGCTCCAAGTTTACCGACTCCAAGCGGAGTCCAAACTGCGGCTTAAAAGGAGACTTTAAAGTTGTGGTTTCGGTTGTGCCTTTGGTTGTGTTTGTGTTTGTGGCTGTGACTGTGACTGGGGGACTGTGGTGCGAATGAGTAATGAGACGGCGGCCCCAGCACCCGGCAGCTATGGAATGTGTTGGCAAAAATTATGTGCAGCGTCAAGTTGTGCAAGTGGAATGGAATAACTTTGAGTGGAATGAAACGAAATGGTTCAGACTAGAGTGATGGAGATAAAAAGCCTCAGGCATCTGGTTAAAAAAATGTATATATATAGTATTCACTTTATTTTCTTTTTATTTACCTAATTATTTATATTATTTATATTATTTAATTTACTCTTATTTATATTTTTTTTTTGGCCGAATTATTGACCTATCATATTTGTATTTCTCTAAAAATTATTGTTCCACATTCTAATTTTGGGTTTTTGGTATTGTTTTTTAAAAGTTTAATGAAACAAGCATAAGCCAACAATCAAGGAATCAGGTAAAAACAAGTTTGGAATAACGGAAACAAAGAAAACAATTGTATTTTTTGTAAAATTTAATTTTTTAGGGTGACTTTTGTACACTAATAAAATAAGTTTATAGGCTTTAATTTAATTTTGTTTTAATCTGCTGATTCTCCGTCAAAGTAGTAGTAGATCCCATTCCATTTTGGTATTTTTCCTATTAAAAAAATTGGCAATGAAATTATTTTTTGAAATTAGAAAAAAATTAAGTTAATTAAAAAAAAAACATTTTTAAAATCGGCATTTATTGTAATTGGTATTGAAACTAATTTAAACAGCTTTTTTTATTGACAACCTTAGCTTTCGATCCACGATCGTTTGTTTTCCTGATATGTAAATCAATAATAAATAAAAGTTTTATGTTATTTGGTCTTTACCTAAAATTCCTCTCCACGATTTACCGACCTGGTAAGCGAAGCTACTGCATACGCTTTTTAATTAGTCTCGTCGGACACATTCAGAATATCGGAATCGCAATTGTATTTATGCTTTAATAACTCTGCAATCCATAATAAGCGAACCACTAATTGCTGCCGCACCTGTGGCCAGCGGCACATCCTCTGCGGCAGCGAATTAAAACATTAGCGGCCAACCTGTTCCATTTCCCATTTCCTTGGCGACGTGTGGGGAGCGGCGGGCGGAGGGCGGCGGCGGGACCGTAAAATAATAATTCAATGTGACAGGCAACAAGATACGACAGCGGGCGCCATTTTTCAGATGCCAACACGCCGCACGCTTCACGCCCCTTTCGCCGATCTCCTGGCACACTTACCATGCAGGTTGCAACGCTCTGACACTATCGCTGCAATTATGACAGACGTACAACGGCGCAAGAAATGGGGAACCCGCCGCCGGTGGTGGGAGGGGGGGGAAAGCGATCCGCTAATCTACAGAGCCTTGCATGCATTTGAATTTCTATTAAGTTAATTGCAATTGGCCAAGGCGAACGCGCATTTGCTCATGTCCAATAAAAGTTAAGTAACGATTGTTTTTTAACACAGAAAGAAAAACATTGTACTCAATATGATAAACTTCAATTCTTAAATATATATTTTAAGCATATTATAATGATTTAACCTCAACTTTTCTATCAGTAAATACATCTAAAATAAATCCTGACTTTACAATGCTCCCTTATCAAACTAATAAGCTTTTTTTCATGTGTAGATAGGATGTGGATAGAATGGAGGGATGGGCAGGGTCATTCAGTGGGGCGCATAAAAGCCAACATAAAGTCCAAACTGTCAACTCTCCCACTCCCTTTGCATTTAATTAGCCAGCCAGCGTTGACCACCTAGCACGACGGCCTCTTGAACCCGCCTCGAACTGGATCTTGATCCCCAAAACCTAAAGCCGGGTTCGAGGCGCCACTTAGTCAACTTCAAAGTGCGGCCGCACAACCGCCGGTTGGTTGGCTGGATGCGTGCATCTTGGCCCGACTGCAAGCTACTACCATCATCATCGTCATCTTCATGGCTGGCATTACAAATCGACAAACGACACGAAAATGCGCTTTAACAACGCGCAGTTAAAATAGATAAAAGCCGATAGTCGGACGCCGCCAGCCAACTGCAAGTCCGTATGGAGGCCTTTGGGGCAGTGAAAAGTGGTCAACCCTAAGATCGGGAACGAATGGGAGTATCATTTGTTTTGGCCAAAGCTCGGGAGATCTAAAACAGGCAGATTATACTAAGAAAAAATGGTTTCTATTAGTTACCCATATATTTAGGCTTTCCCAACATTTTAAACAGATTAATTGGATCTACAGTTCAACTTGATATGATATCTAGAAAGAAATATTGGTAATCTACTAGTATGATACACCAGAGCTAACTTAAAGCATTTTTTTATAAAGCTCCCCAATTCTCTTTAAATTCTTGATTTAAATTATTTTTGGTGTGTAAATAATTAAAATTTTTAACTAAAATTGTTTTATTTAGAACATGAAAACACAAACCTCTTCTGGATTAAGTTTAAAAAAAAAGTACATTAAGCTTAAAAGTATTTACCTAACATCTTTCTCAAGTTTATTTTCCCTGCTTATAATTTAAATTAAAAAATAACAACATTTTTAATAACTAAAACAAGATACAAATTAAATGGTTTAAAAATAGACATATTTTTGATTAAGTTTAAAGTTTTCGCCTAACATATTTCTCAAGTTTATTTCTCCAGTACCCAGTAATTAAATTTTAACAAGTTGATACTTCCTTATTCCCCACTCGTTGATGGTCAATACCCTGGAGCACCAGCACTTAAATCCCCCGTCATAACAAAAGACACACCCAAAGATGCAGTGACGTCACAAGAGCAACAGCAGCAGCAGTTTCATTTTGAGTTCTAGGAAAAAATATCGAAATTCCAAGAATTCACACGAAAGACAAAATGCGATTGCTTTGGAAGAGCCGCAGAGAGGCAGGGGTATGGATATAGATATGGGTATGGGTATGGGTATGGGTAGGGACATGGGGGATATGGGTTAAGGTATTCCCTTGTCTTGAGGCCCTTATCACAACTCACGCGCGTCTCGTTCCATTTCGGTTTTTGGCCCGAACCCGAAATCACATTATCTTCGCTCTCCGTTGCGAGATGGCGACGCAGCTAATGGATACGCCGCATCCACATCCACATCCACACACTCGCTATACTATATGGTATAACATATCACAGATGACGATGATGATGGGCCTGGGCCTCTGTCTCTGTCCCTGTCTCTCGCTCCATCTCTTTCCGCAGACGCCGCGTGGAGGAAGATTGAAGATGCGGCGCTTATCGAGGAGAAAAGCAGAAAACGCAAAGATGAAGCCCGAAAAGAGTTCAGGATAGGAGTTGCAGTCCCAGTCCCAGTCCCAGTCCCATCTCCTCCGCATATTTGTGTGTCGTTGCTTATCGCCCAGGCTGCAGACTTTTCTTGCCGCTTACCCCTCGTTTCTTGACCATCATCGCATTTGCATCACGGAATGCAACTTGGGCAAAATGAGCTGGGAAAGGGTTGTCGGAGCTCAGAAACGTGGCGCCAAAGGAAGCGTTGAAAATGGTACTTGATCTTGATCGCGATGACTCTTCTCAACTGTGTAATTTAGACGGCGCCTCGCTTCTTGTTTCACACTAATGCACTTGCAGCTTTTGAATGTCACCACCAGGGGCACTCCTCCGTTCCGATCATGATTGTGAACTTCTGCCGGCCTTCTAGGCCACTTTGTGATCATGTAATGCCCTTTTGTCTTGGTCCCCTCCTTTTTTTCCTACACTGAGCGGGTGAGTTGCTCGTGTGTATTCAATTGGAATAATTAGTGATATCAGTTTCAATTTTCTTGTGGCGGGAGGAGATTTTCGTTTGAGCGATTGCTTTGCAGTAATGATTCTGTGCTTTAATATGGCTAAGTTGTGGGGTTGGCCTAAAATATCCGGTTAAAAATGTGATTTTTAAAGAAAGAACTTGAGTGCGATTTCACGAATTATTTGTTATTATATATATTATTATTTTAAAGGTTTTTCTCATATGCAAATCGAAAATGTGTTGGAGATTTTGCATAAAAAAATCTAAAAAGGCAAAACAAAATGTCTTGGAAATCCCCAAAGCAAATTTAGAACAAAATATAAATATTTGTATTAATTTATTGTAACATTTAAATGAATGATTAACGTCTCATCATAAAACTTTCCAAAAATATAAATACAAACTTTTAAAATAACAAACAATTTACAGGAGATAAATTTGGAATGCAAAACAACAGAGGAAGAAATTATTATTTAAAACCTTATCAGTTGATACTTAATGTAGGCAATCGTTAAATTGCAATAAAGCAATAATCCAATAAACCGCTATTTCAATTAGTTTATCATTTCT